ATTATTTTCCTATTAACACCGTACAGAAGTAGCCCCAGACTAACTAGTACTTTAATAACTAGCCAAATACTCTGCTATTTTTCGTTCTAGACCATTACAAATCTAGCTACACTTTCTTTTCCTACTAGTACCATATAACTAGCCATAAACATTGGCTATTTTAACCTACTAAGGCCATAAAAAGTAGCTATTTTTCCTAGTCTTTATATAAGCTACGAAGATAACACTAGCAGAGGTGACCGTGGGTCTCTCTCTCTCTCTCTCTCTCACACACACACACTATACAAACAAAATAACTCACTTCCGGTTGGGTTAAATCCTGTACACACCTGACACATAGATAGACAGATAGATAGATAGATAGACAGAGATAGATAGATAGACAGAGATAGATAAAACAAATAGATACCCATAAATAGACGTATGAACAGACAGACAGACAGATACGTAGACTCCCGGTAAAAGAAAAACAACTAAAATAATGTGAATAATCCACTACGTTCATCACTTAACTATAAAAGTTTACAGTGTACAGTATGGCGTATTGTGTCCTGTGGTGGTGGTGAGGATAGTGATAGCGGTGGTGACAGTGGTGGTGGTAATAATGGTGGTGGTGGTGATAGTGGTAATGGTGACGGTGGAGGTGGTGGTAATGGTGGTGGTGGTGATAGTGGTAATGGTGATGGTGGTGGTGGTGATGGTGGTGGTGATAGTGGTAATGGTGGTGATAGTGGTAATGGTGACGGTGGTGGTGATAGTGGTAATGGTGGTGGTGGTGATAGTGGTAATGGTGACGGTGGTGATAGTGGTAATGGTGACGGTGGTGGTGGTGGATAGTGGTGATGGTGGTGGTGGTGGTGGTGACGGTGGTGGTGGTGATAGTGGTAATGGTGATGGTGGTGATGATAGTGGTAATGGTGACGGTGGTGGTGATAGTGGTAATGGTGATGGTGGTGGTGGTGACGGTGGTGGTGGTGATAGTGGTAATGGTGATGGTGGTGATAGTGGTAATGGTGACGGTGGTGGTGGTGATAGTGGTAATGGTGATGGTGGTGGTGGTGATAGTGGTAATGGTGATGGTGGTGGTGGTGACGGTGGTGGTGGTGATAGTGGTAATGGTGGTGATAGTGGTAATGGTGACGGTGGTGGTGGTGATAGTGGTAATGGTGATGGTGGTGGTGGTGACGGTGGTGGTGGTGATAGTGGTAATGGTGACGGTGGTGATAGTGGTAATGGTGACGGTGGTGGTGATAGTGGTAATGGTGATGGTGGTGGTGGTGACGGTGGTGGTGGTGATAGTGGTAATGGTGATGGTGGTGATAGTGGTAATGGTGACGGTGGTGGTGGTGATAGTGGTAATGGTGATGGTGGTGGTGGTGACGGTGGTGGTGGTGATAGTGGTAATGGTGATGGTGGTGATAGTGGTAATGGTGACGGTGGTGGTGGTGATAGTGGTAATGGTGATGGTGGTGGTGGTGACGGTGGTGGTGGTGATAGTGGTAATGGTGACGGTGGTGATAGTGGTAATGGTGACGGTGGTGGTGATACAGATAACATAACCCTGGTATACAGTGTCCCAAGGTAATGGTTCCGCCTGGTGTCTTCTACGGTACAGCCCTTACATAACTCGCTACAGTAATAACATCCGCCCCTTGAACACAAGGCCAGAATTTCATTCATCACATTATCTATCTTCCCTTCACCCTCTGGCATCCATTGTCGTCGTCTTTATTCGTTATGTCTTTCGTTATTAAATTTCCGTATGGTTCTTCTCGTTCGTTATGTCACTTGGGCCTTGTGACACCGAAAGCTTATGATGACACGGGTTTCTTTAGTCAATGCTAAGAGTGTCGGCCAACTTGTTATTAGATTTGGGATTTGAGTTTCATCTAAAGACACACACACACACACACACACACACACACACACGTCATTTACCGCAACCTAAAAAAACGTAGGACCTTCACAGACGTCATCAGAGCGTTAGACTTAGATAATTACAACAAAGTCATAACTTGGGACTCAAGAATTCCATGGATGACAGACAAACTTAGTGACCGCCGCTAGGCTTTACGCTTCGGAGGGGCTGTCTCCACCTTTCAGTCACTCACCTGAGGCGTCCCCCAAGGCACCAGGATGGGACTGCTGGAAATATGTCGACGACTCCACCACTGGGATCAGTGTAAACAATTCGGCTCCCGCCCACACCGCCCTCCAGGATATATTGAACAGTCTCCAAAATTGTGCAGCCAACAACCAGGTCACCATCAACCATACCAAGAGCATGGTTATGCACATCAGCGTCTCCTCCAACCATTACTTTGGGCCCCAACACACTCCAGGTTGTAGACTCCGCCAAGGTTATCGGCGTCACTATAGATAACAAACACAGGTGTAAACCCCACGTCAGTACAACCGTCAAATCTTCCTGCTGTTGTCTCTACATCCTTTATCGTCTCAAGTCCTTCGGAGCTCCCACGTCTGGGCTCTTACACAACATTCATACTTCCTACCCTCACCTATGCCTCCCCTGCCAGGTCTTCTTCCTTTACTGATTTACAACGAGAACTAGAAAAGGTGTAGAAGGGGGCATGCAAGATTATTCTCTCCCCTTCCTACTCCACATATCAAGAAACGCTCAATACACTGACCCTCTCGGCTCTCTCTGATCATCACCATAACTTTCGAGAAAATATTGCTACCCTATCCTCGTCCCCTGTGGTCCCTCGTCCGTGAAATGCTGCTCCACACTACAGAAGTACCCAGCCCATACGACCTCGCACTGATCACGGGGAAACAATAAAAGCCATATCCTAACCATTGTAATAATCCTTAACCAATCGTGTTCTATTTTTTTACTGACTCCTGTTGTCTCGGTAGGGTTGTCAAAATCCTTCGTCAGTTGTGTCATATTTTATCAACACAATTTTGTATGGATAGTTTTTGGTTGACTGTACAGTATTCTCATGTATGTGTTTTACCAGGTCAGTATTTTTATTCAAGAACCTTAAATAATTACTGTAGTTTAAAACGTTCAACAAACATATACCTAAAATAAACAGGTATAAAATCTTATCATTGTGAAGACCATCAATAAGACCAGACTTTATTCCCAGTCATAAGAGGATTATACACTTAATTTACATAATGTATGAACTAAAAATGGAACTTTATGGACACCCTGTATAATTTAAGGTAATATTCTCCACCCTGTATAATTTAAGGTAATATTCTCCACCCTGTATAATTTAAGGTAATATTCTCCACCCTGTATAATTTAAGGTAATATTCTCCACCCTGTATAATTTAAGGTAATATTCTCCACCCTGTATAATTTAAGGTAATATTCTCCACCCTGTATAATTTAAGGTAATATTCTCCACCCTATATAATTTAAGGTAATATTCTCCACCCTGTATAATTTAAGGTAATATTCTCCACCCTGTATAATTTAAGGTAATATTCTCCACCCTGTATAATTTAAGGTAATATTCTCCACCCTGTATAATTTAAGGTAATATTCTCCACCCTGTATAATTTAAGGTAATATTCTCCACCCTATATAATTTAAGGTAATATTCTCCACCCTGTATAATTTAAGGTAATATTCTCCACCCTGTATAATTTAAGGTAATATTCTCCACCCTGTATAATATAAGGTAATATTCTCCAGCGAGCGGAAAGGTGGTGGAGAGAGTCGGATATACTGGTTACTCACCGGAAACTATCCCTTGTAAACAATAAAATGTCAACAATCCCACACAGTCTTAATAAGGACATGTGAATATAATTAATTAATGGAAACAAACAATTTTAATGGTTTTTGGTGTATATGCTGTGAATGTTCGTGTTAAAAGAGCAACATTGTGGATCGGGTTTGTTCGTGTTAAAAGAGCAACATTGTGGATCGGGTTTGTTCGTGTTAAAAGAGCAACATTGTGGATCGGGTTTGTTCGTGTTAAAAGAGCAACATTGTGGATCGGGTTTGTTCGTGTTAAAAGAGCAACATTGTGGATCGGGTTTGTTCGTGTTAAAAGAGCAACATTGTGGATCGGGTTTGTTCGTGTTAAATGAGCAACATTGTGGATCGGGTTTGTTCGTGTTAAAAGAGCAACATTGTGGATCGGGTTTGTTCGTGTTAAAAGAGCAACATTGTGGATCGGGTTTGTTGATGTGTGAGGTTTACCACGAATAAGGACAATGTTGCTCATGTCATCGATGCACCCACGTTACTATCATGCTCACGTCACCAACACAGTATCATTAACTGGTGAACGTGATATAATTTGTTAATATGAGAATGAGGAAATGAACACAAACATACGTACATACATACATACAGCGGTTTATATTACATACATACATACATACATACATACAGCGGTTTATATTACATACATACATACATACACACACACACACACACAGGGCAGCAGCAGAGTGGCTAGTAGAAATGAAAGTGGCCCAAACCGGTATGATGAACCTTGCCTTAAGCGCCTGTCTCTACCATCACAACACCATTACTTACCATTTCACTCCCATTATCACCATCACCAGGTCCCTTATACCCCACCATGACACCGCCATTACCCTCGCTACCATCACCACCATCACCCTGAAACACATCCTGCCGACACCCTGAAACACATCCTACTGACACCTTGAAACATATCCTGCCGACACCTTGAAACATATCCTGCCGACACCCTGAAACACATCCTGCCGACACCCTGAAGCACATCCTACTGACACCCTGAAACACATCCTGCTGACGCGTCTTTGACCAGGGTGTACAGAAGTCTCATTAAGGTTGCTCGGGTGCATTGACATACCTGGAGCGGGGAGCGCGCGCGCGCGCGCACACACACACACACACACACACACACACACACACACACACACACACACACACACACTGGTATTGACTTTCAGTTAATGCAAAAGTATTGAAAAGTTGATCCTAATAAAAATACTTGGAAGACTTTCACACAGGTACTCACCTTTCCCCCTCTCCTTCAGTTGGTTTTCAGTATCGCCGACGAAGGCTGGGTTCTCCATCCTACTGAAGCCTTGATGTCTTCCCTTTCACCAGGATTCAAGTCACTCTCTCTAACCTCCCACTCTCTCTTTTCTCTCCCTCTCTGTCCACTTCTCTTTCTTAATTCACTTGCTTTATTATCAATTTCCTTTTTTTTTTCAATTTCAGTTCATAAATCACTATAGAAGAACGTCACTGTCCTAAATACACTGGGTATTCCAAACGCCCCTTCAGCAGTCAACCTGTAGGGAAGAGAAATAAATATATATAAATAAACTGAATTTATATTGATTTTTTTATATATAAACATCATTCAGACGAGTGATTTATATACTCGTAAACAATATGTATGTATGTATGTATGTATGTATGTATGTATGTATGTATGTAGGTATGTCGAGCCAAATTGGATGAGCACCTTCCTTCTCCGGTTCTGAAACGCCTAAATATAGTCCCCAGATTAGCCCAATATAGACCCCTTGTGGAGATGAGTGGGGACTGACTGAGCTAAAGTGAAAAGGTCAATAATTCAGGGTTAGATAAAATATTTCATATCTGTATTTCAGGGTAATGTTATACTGTATATATTTTGTTTTCGTATTTACGGGTTTGGTTAGGTTAGGTTACAAGCCTTACAGTGATCAACACTAATACGAATGATGCGAACCTTCTCTGAGCAGGTGGGTGTATTGGGCAGGTAGGTGGGGGGGGGTGAGATAGTGGGAAGGGGGTGGGCAGGTGGTGGGTGAGGGGACGTTTGGGTAGGAGGGGGCGGAACATTCCTCCACTCCACTCCACACAAAACATGTTAGGTGCGTCATAACACCTAACCTAACTTATCCTCACCCAACCCAGCACTAACAGAGACAATCAGCTGCTCTACCAAATACCCCAAGAGACTTGCCTTAAAAAAAATGTAATTACGATTCATTTAAGTCCGAACCTACATGACGTAATACTGGGATCAGTCAGGCCAGCGGTAATAATTTCACCGTGCAGCGTTTGTGAGGCAGTCAGGGCAAGTGTGATAATGTGAGGAGGAAGGAATGGTGTATTTTTATTACTGGAAAAGACGAGTTGGAATATGAGATGAATTCTAACTCCAGGGTTTGTGTTCAGGCGGCACAACACGGCAGTATACAGTGTCTACAAGATCGTCTACTGAGAAAATATAAAGTCGCATTTCCCTCCTTGAGAAAGTGCGTCATAATGAGGATGTCAAGGTTAGTCTTCCCACCCACAGCTGCTGTGAGGCGTGGAGGGAGTGGAGGCTGGAGTGAAAGACTACCACCCAAAATGTGGAATTGTTTGACAGTTTAAGAGGGCCAAGAAGCCCAGCAGCACTCGGAGACCAAAACTGTCTGATGGTGCACGTGAGGTGGAGCAACTAAACTGTATTACAATGATGTTAAACTGTATTACAATGATGTTTATTCTTGAGTGTGTGGGCATGTACAGTACGAGACCCCGGATTCGTCCCGCGGGCCGCTGTTTGTTTACGTTCTGATGACAATCTTAGGGATGGTAACTCTCTCTCTCTCTCTTTCTCTCTCTAATTTTCAACCTCCTTCACCTAATAAGTGTCCAGAGAATTTGGTCCACAGCTGTACGGACAGACACCTGCTACACACCTGTGCATCAGTTCAGGTGTTCGTAGCTCATGTGATATGGATTTTTGGGATCCACAGGGAGTGTAAAGGTATTATTTTACACATACTCTATACCCTTATATTCTTCTTCGTCATCGTCTCCTCCTCCACTGCTTCGTCTCACCTCCTCATTTTCTTATTTCTCTTCCACTTCTCCCTTTGTCATGGACCCAAGGGAGAGACCAAATAAAACCCTCTTCTTTAAAACCTAACCTAACCTAAACACAACTAACCTAACGTAAACACAACTAACCTAACCTACGCTAACCTAACGAGGGGCACAATTATGATGCGATATATCTCAACTTTAGCAAAGCCTTCGACAGTCCCCCACGAAAGACTAATAAGAAAGGTAGAGGCTCATGGCATTAAAGGTGATATTCTAAATTGGATTAGGGCGTGGTTACAGGACAGGAAACAGCGAGTGAGCATTAACGGCACTAAATCCCAGCAACGTCACAAGTGGAGTTCCCCAAGCCTCAGTACTTGGACCATTATTATTTATTATATACATAAACGACATGGATATCGGCATAGACAGCAACATAAGTAAATTTGCTGATGACACTAAAGTAGAACGTGTAATTAAATCTGACGAAGACTCCGCAAAACTACATGAAGATCTAAACACCCTTCCCGCACCCGACCCAAACAGGAATTGAACCCAAGACGCGAAGGTGTGAGACGCGCTATTATTGTTCACAGCTTCAGGGTAAAATTTGTCAATTATGGCAAAATATTTGGCGTACTATTTTTGATATGTAGGGATGAGTTGATTTTGTGTTGTTGTTGCTGGTGTGGTGGTGTGTTGGTGGTAGTGGTGTTGTGTTGGTGGTAGTGGTGTTGTGTTGGTGGTAGTGGTGTTGTGGTAGTGGTGTTGTAATCATTGCTGTTGATTAGATCTGGTAAAATAGGTTAGCGTTAGGGTGGTTAATCCTCAGATAAAATAAGCTGGGGGAGTCTAACCTAACCTCCAGATTAACCACCCAACGTTAACCTATCCTAAAATTAACCCCCCCCCACCCCCCTCTCAGGTAACACGCGTACCTCTCACCAATACATCAATGGTTCGAGTCTCAGCCCGGACACACACGAGAAGGGGGGTTGCTATCCAATGTGACCCGACCAAACATCACACGTTTCCCGGTCCCCCGTTTCCTCCTTTACCACCACTGGATAGACCGCCCACTCGAATGACTAGTAAGCTGAAGATAATAATAACAAGCTGGCTAATCTTCAGGTGATATAAATATAAACTTTCAAGTATGATAAAAAAGCTTAAGATAACTGCTCGAACGTGTATTGGTTACCGAGCTGGCGAATCATTGCCTTGAGTTCCTTGCCATGCATCTGTTGTTTCTCTTACACATTAGGCGGCAGGGGGAGGAAGCGGGGTGGCGGGGAAAGAGAGTGGCAGAGGCGAGGTGGCAAGAGAGGTGTCCGTGGGGGGTTGACTGGCTGAGGGAGGAGGGGGCGATCAGCACTCAAAGCTTCCCGATATAAACACTGTCTCACCCGATATATCTTGTGTCTTTAAGAACATTATAATATATACTATTGTTGATCTGTCTCACTTATATAATAGTAGGTATACATACACCTAAATAGAGTAGGTATACATACTACAGTACCTAAAAAGTGTAGGTATACATAGTACAGTACCTAGATAGGGTAGGTATACATACAACAATGTAAGTACTGCATACATACAAATATCGGCTGCGGTATAATTACTATTGGGTATAAATATCGGCTGTGGAAAGGTCAATATCGGCTGTCATATTTTCACTACTGGGGTTAAAATATCGGCTGCCGTATTGATAACTTACCACAAAATACAAATTGGCACATTACAAAATACACTAAATATACTAATTACACAGGATACAGACACTACCGCAAAATACACAATACTGATTACATTGGATACAGTATAACAATATGGTGATGCAGTTTGTAAAGCATTAAGTGAAACACGGTTAGGTAACAATTTGAAGTATTCGTTATAACCACGAAATGTTTGGGTACAGTTACCGTGTTTGTTTCAATACGGGGTTGTTAAAAGTTATCAAAGGTCAGAGTTGGGTCACCAGTCATGCAAGTGTGGGTGGGTCATGCTATACAGGTCATTTAGAGGTCATATAGCCCACAGCCAATGCATATTTGACCTTACCTCACCTGAAGAATCTCTACCCCAACCCACTCTACCTGAAGAATGTCCTCCCCAGTACTGCCTTCATGACCTGTTGTTAGAATAGGTCACAGAGACGAGTGATGTCAATCCTCCATACGGTGGATACAAATACTAATAGGAAAATAATGCTGTGTAGCGGCATTCCCCAGGACAACTTTCCGCCACACAAACATTCACTCACAAAGGCTTAATATCAAGGATGTCTTGTTAAATAGACTGTACAATACGTTTTATGTCTTACCTTTAAATGTCTTGTTCAGAATGAGATTGTTTTCTTGTTGTTGATATTTAGAGTTCAGAAACACTACGACGCAGTAAAATTCACTCTTGACATTCTCACCCTATTCATACATACACCTTGTTTATCACACAGTCACAGATTATCACCCATAAACGATAAGGGAAGTAAAGGAGGGAGCACAGACACACACACACACACACCCACTCTCACCGACAGCCAGGCCAACACTGAATCACTCAAGTTAAATACAGTGGCTGGACTTCCTCTGTGGGTCTCACCTGAATACCGTCCACCCTTCACGGCCGAGTGGTTCACACTACACTGTTTACCTCACTTAATATATGGGTTAATTCATCACAACACAGTGGTTTAAACCCTTGAGGTATGTTTATAATATCTGAGACACCCTTCCAGGCCCGTCCTTCAGGGGTTAGAGTCATCATACGTCCGACAGCGAGAAACATCTTTGGAAAACCCCCTACATGACCTGTTCAAAGTCTCGTACGGCTTCTCTTTAACCTCTCCACAACAACAACAACACCTGATGCTTCGACCCCGCTGTTGTGAACTAATATCCACTGTAGTACGGAACCCGACTCACTCACTCAAGAGTACCGTTCACGGGAGGTTTTTATCAGTCATCCAGTCCAGTCCCTGCCCTCCCCTGACCCTCCTACCCTCAACTTTGCCCATAAATATTTGTTATTATTCCCTCATCCCTAATTATATGATCAAAATATCTCGTTTTTTCCTTTTCTGTACATTTCAAGTATTTATTTTGAAGTTTTTGATAATCTTAGTACTACTTCATTTGTTTTCCTATCAGTGTAATTTATCTTTAACATTCGCCTATAACACCACATTTCAAAGGCCTCCAACCTCTTTCTGGTGTCTGCTGAAAGTCTCCACGCTTATGACCCATACATCAGTCCTTGTCATATAAGCCTACAGCAGCCTTTTCCTCAAGCTGAATGTCCCTTTTCATTAGGTCTTTTAGATTATTAAATACTGTGTTTGTTGCCCCTATTCTTGTTTTGATCTCTTCTCTACATCAACCATCACAGTTAATGTAACTTCCCAAATAAACAAAATTCTCCTCCTGTTCCTGTTGCCAAACATAAATTTTAGTTTAGGATTCATTTCAAATTTCGAAACAAGCAAAACTAAAGTCTTTCCAGCATTAACTCTTAAACCACATTTTTCATCTCTTTCCACACATCTGTTAACGAGTTTCTGTAATGCCTCTTCACTATCTATGATAAGAGCGGTATCATCAGCATGGCGCATATTTGACATTACTTTACCATTAACTTTTAGTCCTTCATTACCACTAATAACTTCTCACATTAAGCATTCTCAATATATATTAAACAATATTGGAAACAACGAACCGAACCCATAAACTTGAAGCCGAACACAGCCTTGTCTTCCTCTCAATCTAACAACGAACCTAACCCATAAACTTGAAGCCGAACACAGCCTTGTCTTCCTCTCAATCTAACAACGAACCGAACCCATAAACTTGAAGCCGAACACAGCCTTGTCTTCCTCTCAATCTAACAACGAACCGAACCCATAAACTTGAAGCCGAACACAGCCTTGTCTTCCTCTCAATCTAACAACGAACCGAACCCATAAACTTGAAGCCGAACACAGCCTTGTCTTCCTCTCAATCTAACAACGAACCGAACCCATAAACTTGAAGCCGAACACAGCCTTGTCTTCCTCTCAATCTAACAACGAACCGAACCCATAAACTTGAAGCCCGACTCAGATAACAGAATCCCAAATTCCACGTTATAAAACAGCAATACTCTTTACGACACTTCAACGACTGGAGACTTTTACTACACGTATATATGTTGTTTACAAGTCCACATATTTACCTGATCTTGAGATACCATGACCCTAATTCTAATGGATATTACTGGAGGGATCATCTGCGTATAAATACATCAATTTTATTTCACCTGATGATTGAATATCCCTACGTTAGCTGATCATTATACTGTACAGTTAAGCTTCTGTCAATCCTAAATGAATAGTACATGTATTACAAAATAATCTACTTTATCAACATTTAATCATTCTAAATATGAAATTTAAGAATATAGAATAATTTTCTTTAGTAAAATTTTCCATACACAAAACATAAAGGTAAATGAGGAGAAATTGGACTACTGACTGAGTGACTGTGTATGGTAGTGTGGGTGATGAATTCGAATTTGCAATCCTTAATACATAGTTTGCAAATTCGAATTCAATGGGGAATATTATGCTCAAAAATTTGGTATGGCAATGGGTAATCCACTCTCACCTGTATTAAGCAACCTACAGTATATATGGAATTCTTTGAAAAGAAACTATTAAGTAATATTTTACCACCCTCAGCAGTCTGGTTTAGATATGTTGATGATGTATTATGTCTCTGGCCATGTAATGAGGACCTAAAAGCTTTCCTGCCACAACTTAACAACTTAGCCCCCTCGATCAAATTCACTGTGGAATTAGAGCAAGACTGTAAATTGCCATTCCTAGACTGTCTGATACACAGAATAGGTAACACTTTTAAGTTCAGTATTTATAGAAAACCAACTAATGTGTGTTCATACATTCATTATTATTCTGCCCACCATAATAAAGTCAAACAGTCAGTATTTTCAACAATGTTTTTACGTGCCTTGAGAATTTGCAGTCCGGAATTCATCGATGAGGAATACAAATATATATATAATATTGGCTCAAACCTTAAATACCCTAGATCTTTCATAGACAAATGCCTAAACATTACTAAGAAAACTTTTTTATAGAACTGATCCCAAGCCCACCCATGACCATAAGAATCTCTTAGTATTACCATTTCACAAAAATTTCTCACACATTCCTGCACAGCTAAAAACCTGGAACGTCAATGTGGCATTTAAAAACTCATGCACTGTTAAACAAATGTTAATGAAGAACTCCCCCAACAACACAATTGGTTGCATTTATAAAGTTCCTTGCAAGAAATGTAATATGTTTTACTTAGGCCAGACAGGTAAAGATCTTGCAACTAGAATTAAACAACACAAATACAGTGTTAGGACAGGCCAGGAATCCAATGCTCGGTTTGTTCATTTGAGGGATAACAAGCATTGCATTGACTGGGATAATGCCTCCTCAATATTACCATGTAATTCAATTGATAGTAGGAACATCATAGAATCTAGTCTTATTAAACATACCGAAGCATTCAACATGAATTTGAGTAACGGCATGTACAAGCTGGACAATTTTGTAATTAAGAAGATTTGTGACCAGGTGAGAAGGCCGGGTCACCTGACCATCTGACCACCACCGTTGTGTGCTATTTAAAGATTAGTAGGGTCATTACCTAATACCTGACCATTGTGGACCTGGTCTCACCCTCCTCTGTATATATACACCTTGATTTGTATTTCTCTCTCTAGTCTGTACTCACCCCTGAAGATGTGAATTACACGAAAGCGCTTGGGAACTTCGTGTTTTCTTCTTTCCTTGTGGTTATCAGCATATATATATATATATATATATATATATATATATATATATATATATATATATATATATATATATATATATATATATATATATATATATATATATATTATATATATATATATATATATATATATATATATATATATATATATATATATATATATATATATATAGAATAAGTTCCTGATTTTCTTACACTACAAATTTACATTATTTTTCCCGATGCTCTAGTAAATTTTAATACTTTTGTAGTGACGTCAGGCTTTATATATGTGTATAGAAGGAAACGTCTTTTTATTTTGCTTTGAGGCCTCCAATTGGCCCGCCATCTAGTGGCCAGGCGTCCCAAACAAAAACGATTTTCTTTTTATTTTAAAGGTAAACTATGATAGAAAATGAATATTTACTTTTTTACGGGCATGAGCCCACCCGGGCACGTCATTTTTAATGACCCACATCAAGGCTTAGGGGCTTAAATATTATAATTATAATAATAATAATAATAATAATAATAATAATAATAATAATTTCTTTGGTCTTTACCCATGGGCCCCGGCCCTATCAAACAGATCCACGGCAGTCATCACCATCCCAAATCAGTCACGAGAAGACCAAACTGTAGCCACTCCCTTCTCACTGGGAACTTTAATAACAGCAAGCTAACGTTGACTGAAGGAATGAATTACACCAAATGACCTGAATAACCTAGACGGATTCCTGGTTTCTAATACATCTCCCGGAGAAAAAAATAAATCATTTTGAGCGTCACGAGAGAGGCAGAACATAAAACAAGTTGAAGAACTGTTTGAGGCAGTTTTTCTGGTGCATCATCACAGGAACAATATTTAATTGTACTGTAAGTTTTAACAACACGGGTAACTTTCCGTTCAGTATTCTGAGTGACGAACAAGACAATTCAGACCATGTGCTGAAGTCAGGACTCACAGGCTACCTCACAGTTGTCTGAGGGCTGATGTATCGACGGGGACACCTCTGGTCACCATGGTCATGTTCACACCAAGGAACATACAAAGAAGAACAACTCAATACATTTTATTTGTGATGGGCCGCCGATTCCTTCGTAAGTAGTTTTATCATAGAAAACGTTGTGCTTGAGAAAATGAACCTTGTTTTAACGGTAACTATACAATATAACTCCCTCACCGTATCCGAATGTTTAACATGATACGGTGTTTCCGTTAATGTTTACACAGATACAACAAATTAATATAATAACTCTCCATTAGTCCACAACATTGAAACAACACCGAGAAAATAAGAGGCAGATAAAACTCTTAATATATCAACACTGTCCTTATAGAAGACACGCCACAGTGAAAAACAAAGTGTGGTTAATGGCGTGGTTAATGGTGTGGTTAATGGCGTGGTTAATGGTGTGGTTAATGGTGTGGTTAATGGCGTGGTTAATGGTGTGGTTAATGGCGTGGTTAATGGCGTGGTTGATGTTGTCTTAAGCCCCTTTACCTAGCTGTCTCTCAACGCCAATCTCCATAAGAAAGAAAACATTCTCATGATAACCTAAACTACGAGCAAAAAATAATAATAAAATTAGTCAACATTAAAAAACAGAACAGGTGTCTTGAGCTAAGGTTAAAAACTGCTTGAAATTAGGAGGATACGTTCACACACACACACACACACACACACACACACACACCTTATGTACGACTGCGACAAATACTGACAGATGGC